GGGGTTTGGGAGACCTGGTGGGATTCCCAGCCCAGGAAGAGAAAGGCTGCCCAGGCAGTGCAATGCAGAGCTCCACTGGGGTCCATGGCCCATCCTTTCTGTACCATTGGCTGGGATGCAACACAAGGACAGCAATGAATCCCAGGACAGCTCAGGCTGCAGCGATGTGAGTACACGCTGCCTGAAGCACAGACACTTGCTTTGTATGATCTATGAGATTTGTAACCTTCCAGGGACAGGGACATGCCTGTAACATGCTGATATCTGGTGCCATGGTACAAAGGAGCATCAGCCTGGGATGCTGTGGGCACTCCTGGCACACAGTTAACAGGTACCCAGTTTCCCAGGTAGACTGGGGGTTGCAGAGGAGACTTTCTGTCATTGGGACATTGTGCCTCATTTACCCCCATACTAAGGTGCCTCACACTCAGACCTTTAGGAAACCCCTACCATGGGGGTGTTTGCAGGTGTGCTATGTGGTCCTATTGCTCATTCCTCCTCTCCTGCACACTTTGCTCTCACTCTGCACTGAACTCCTTGCTGTGAAACAAGCTGCCATCCATCCTCCCCTCAGTGCACCAGACTTCCTTGGCTTTAGCCCTTCACATTCAGCCTTTCCCATCCCTGATGACCAGTCAGAGTGGCCCAAAGATGGCCACCATCCTCTAAGGCAGACACGTCTAAGGCAACCTGCCTGGCCAAATCATTGAGATGTGTCCTGCTGCACTGGGCTGGGTCTGTCCCCAATCAAGACTCTCCTTGAGAAACAAGAGGTGATTTGCTTTATGTACATTAAACTCATCTCCATTCCTGTGCTCAGAATTATTGATTAGTCTGACAGCTGTACCCCTGCTGGTTTGCCATTTCATATCTGTGCACAAGAGAAAGGCACATTGATTTTGCTATTATCAAAATCCTCCTGTATTTGCACAGTCTTTTCTCTTCCTGCAATTTTCTAATTCCTTCTGGAAAACATGCTACACATTGTCAAGATCAAATTCCTGAGACATCTTGTTTAAATCAAGGGATTCTTAGCACCTTCTGTTTCTTTTGAATATCCATCTGTGCAGAAATAACAAACCAGAGAGCTACTGGGGCAGAGGGAAGCACCAGCAAAGACCTCAGTCTATGGTCAGACTTGCTGCTATCATACCTTTTTGTGGTGTATTGTGATGAGGCGCTGTGAACAAGTTGCCTAAAGAAGTTGCAAAATACCTCTTAACAAAACATGTTATAGGGCATCCTAACACATTAGACTTTTGAGGTAACAAGATTAGTGTTTCTAACCCACTCACAAAGATATCAAATCAAACATAATCCCATTTACTTACCTCTAAACAGGTACATGTTCTTCCATTCTCTTCTCTCAAGCAGCACTATAACCTTCAGCCTGCTTCACTTAACCTCCTTTCACCTACTGGTCCTGTAAAACCAGTGTTTGTGTCAGGGTGACCTGTCTTCTCATTAAGGACCCACTCAGATCTGAGTCCCCCTTGCCACACAACCAGAAGAATTTATTTTGTGTCACCTCCTCACTCAAAGATTTTGTAACTTTATTATATTTTTTTAAGTGACATAATTTCCCAGGGGGGAATTGTGGGCAGGAGAATGCAGATGAAGCTGAGCTTCAGCTGGGCTTTCTCCTGCTCAGCAGCAGAGCCTTCCCTGCAGCCCCCCAGGCTCACAGGTGTGTGCTGGCTCAGCCAGCTGTGCACCCACAAACCCCAAACACCTTGCTTAACCTTTCCTAATAAGCATGTAATCAAATTAAGGCAGCAGCTCATTATATGTGGCTGTGTGTTTTCCTGCAGTGGCTCTCTGCTAACCCAAAATCTGGTTATTAACATGGAAACTCCTCCAATGTGGTGGGATACCAACATTATTCTATAGCATATCTGTAATATCAATATTCATATACTATTAAAAATTAATGCACATGTTTCTATTAATAATTAATAATACTGCAATATTAATAAAATTAAACCAAACGTAGGCACAGATCTCCTAAGTGGAGTGAATAAAGGAAAGTGTTTAAACCAGGCTCTCTTCACAAACTGGGAAAGGAGGCTTTTCCCCTCTACCAAGGTGGTTCCAGGACTGCACAATTTCTGTTCTCTTTTCTCATCTGATTTTTCCTGCCAAGAGAAATCCCCTTCCCTTCTTCCTAGGCAGGTAAGAAAGTTATTCCTGGCCTAGGATTATTGCCAAGGTGATCCTGGAGCAAACCAGCCAGCACAGGGGACTGCAGAAAAGTTTTCATGGCAGGGTTGGCTTGAGGCTGGCCACCTTTTCCATCGGTCATCTTGAGTCATTTGCTCTCCTCCTTAAGTCAAAACCTGGCTCCAGGGAAAAGCAGAGGGGCATGCATGGCCATTTACATTTTGAAATGCTTCTTGTGGCCACTGGTTTGCCTATTATCACTGTAAAGCAAAGGTAAAAGGTTCACTCTCAGCCCCTTCCACTGCAGAAAGAAATTAAAGGGATTTTGCATGTGCTTGAGTGAGGAAATCTCCCCTAGGATGGGAGAAAAGATAATTGATTAGGACAGACTTTAGGAAATAATTGGGATACAAAAGCTTAATCTTCCTTCCAAAATGATCTCTCAAATCAACTAACCTTCATTGTGAGTGTCAATTAATGAAAATTAAATTACTAAAAGGGGAATCGTAATAATTATTGCGAAGTGAACGTAGTGGGGATGTAGGACAGTGAGGTTTTGCCTTTGGCTCTCCTACGTCAGCAGAGAAGGTGTGGAGAAGCCCCTTGAGGACAAGTATGGAATAAGGTCTCTCTCAAAGCTTCACCTTTCAAATGCCCTGTCCAGGAGCATCTGCAGGACGTGAGAACTTCCACCTGCTCTAGATGGTGTGAACTTTGAACTCATGTAATTGGGGCTGTTCTCATTACCCAGATAAATGCTTAATCCCACAAGTTAATTGGCACAAATTACAACTACAAAGTTGCTCTGCTCTGGTCTGATGAACTCTCCTAGGAGTTCAGTTTGGCAGGTCTGAGACAGTCCTCAGATATAATTGTCCACTCATTTACAATGATATAAACCAGGGTTACTGCCTTCAGTGCAGTCACTGGTGATTTATGCCAGCAGGTGATGAGGAGCAGGGCTGGTATTTTCTACTGTGGTTCATCTTTCATGCTTTGGTTAAAAAAAAATGGAGCAAGAGATGGGACACATCTATTTTTCTTCTTGATTTTCCCTTGAGTGTAAATTGAAGTCCATGGTATTAAGGTTATTTTATAGTGATAGACCTGGACAGAAAAGCAACCCCCAGACTCCCAGTGTGTCCTGCCTCTGCAAACTGGGACTGTGTGGGTGCACAGGGTGTTTGGGGAGTGGCAGTGGTAGGATCAGGTTTGGGGGTTGTTCTTAAGCCCAGGTTATGGAAATTTCTGCAGCACTCACATGTCACTGCACTGGTATGGGAATGAGCTGGTCTTTCACCAGCACAGTCCAATACAGAGGCATTGGGGTGGGTGCCCTGGGGTTGGGCTCTCTTGAGCAATCTTGTCCCTCAAGACATTTATTTTTCTAACATGTGCAGGATTCACAAGGATCTGGCAAAACAACTAGTCCAGTTGTTCCTTGCTGTCTCCTCAGGGAGGTTGTGGGGCCCAGTGGAAGGTACCTGGTAAACTCACTGTGTTGTTTCTCCTCCTCTCCAAGTAATACAGGTCTTTGCCTTGATAAAAGTGTGCCAACTTCTCCAATCCCCCCCCTCCATCATCAGCAAAGCACTGATTGTGGAAAGATGAATGACTTCACTTTTCCAGTTCCAGCATATGTTTGCATGTCTGAGAGCAAGAAACGTGTGAATCTCACACAAACTATTGGAATTCCAGCTCTGGGGACTGACAAGTAAATATGAAGTCACACAGCATTTCATAGAAAACCCACAAATCTTATGTTTGCTGAGCTAAAGTTGATCCTTTGAGGCATGTGCCAAGAAAAACCTCTCATATTAGTTACACCGAGATTCCTCCACCGTCTAGGACTGCAGCTTGATTGAGGAGTTCATGCCTTGTAAAATCCAAGTTTCCCTAAAAGCAGCCAGAGGCACATAATCTTTTGCTAAGCTATCCGTAAGGAGCTCTGCTAGCTTGGTGGATCGAGTATGGGATAACAGATTACACTGAATAAAAATGAAAAGCCACAATGACAAAATAATGTTATAATATTAAAATAAATCAAATAATATACTGCCATTATTCTGATACAGAATTTTTACACAGCAAATTTGATACATATACAAGAAGTCAGGCAGCCCATTACAATAAACTTCAGGGTTCCTTTTTTTTTAATATAAACTACATCTTAATACATAGTTTGAGATGATTGGGTAGTCTTACACCAATTCAAGTAGCAACAACTTCTCATCTTAGAATACTAAAATAACAAAATCTTTTGATGCTTTGAATATTGAAATGCTTTGGTTCCACCTGCCACTTTTAAAAAGTGTAAAAACTACATCTATTGGTTAAATCTTTTTTCCTAGAGACACGCCTAACTTACAAATACAGTAATATAAATAAAGATACGAAATGCAATGTAAATACAATTTTTTGGCAATCCTCGTATGGTTCACACTGTGCACTTATTCAACTCTCAGTTCAATTCAGGTATTCCAAGGTGTAAAAATGTGGCTAAAATTTTTCAAAACTGACAATAAACTTGGATGTTTTCATTCTGGGTTTAAGCTGGAACCATGAAGACCATGAAATGGTTCAGAAATGGTTAAGCCCCTGCTCTCAGACAGAAGTTTTGGTTTAGTAGATGTCATTTTGCCACCCCAAAATAAAAGCATCTGCCACTGCAATTCCCTCCTGAAAACCCTGGCCACAACAGCACAGCATCTCATCTCCTGTTGATGTTGGTGAGGCAGGAAAGTGTGGTGAAGGGTTTCCCCATGGCAAGTACCTTGTTCATCACAATAACGAGAAAATGAGAATAGCGAGTGGCTCGTTCTAGCCCGGAACAGCTCCTGCTAAAAGAAGACATCTTCTTTTCTGAAGTGCAGCATACATTTGAATTTGCTGGAGGAAGTCCGTCCGCAGGTGAGGCCCGGGAGGCACGGGCAGGTGTGGTGCATCCGCCGCCCCGAGAAGGGAACCTGGGCACAAAGAGCACAGACGTCAGGGACAGGGAGCACTGTGGCAGCGGTGCTTGGGGGGATGGATTCAGAGGAACAGTGGGAATACTGGGAATGCTGTCCTCCTCCCTCCTTCCACTGACGGAGATTCCCCACGAGCTGCGGCCCGGGGGTGGAGAGCAGATGGCAAAGCCAGCCCTGTCGTACATCCTGGTCAAGCCACAGCTAAGGGCAAAATGTTAACAGTCGTGGTGCTGTGTAAATCTACATCTGTGACACATGTTCTCCATTTACTCCCGTTTCATAAAGGAGTCTGTTGTGAAATGACAATGGCCTTCAGCATCAAATGTTGTGGTGTCACTGAGCAGGGGTTTCTGTTTGTTCCGATTCCTGCCTTGTCACATGGCACAGAGCAGGACCCAGGAACCTTGGGATCCCATGGTAGTCAGGCTGGAAGGGACCTCTGGAGGTCACCTCATCTGACCTCCCTTGGAGCAGGATCCTTTTCACCACAGGGCAGAGTTTTCTCATTTCATCCCACCCTCCCCCAGCCACGCTGTGCTGCAGGGAGCACATACGGACTGCATTAGACAAATTTAACTGTGCCATGACATGCACATGCACTGACACTCTTCAACAACTTGATCACAAGCTCTGCCTTTTACAGAAGCTGAGCAGGACAGCGCAGTGGGACGTGGCTGGGAACCGCAGTGCTGCCAGCTGGCAACACACACTGAGCATCGCCTGGGTGCAGTGAAGAAAGCACAGAGGTACAAAGGCATTGCCAGACAGGCAGTCAACCCTAATTCCCTCATTTCCAGTTTTCTAGGTGGTTTTAGCCCAGAATTTTAATATTCTAAGGTTGTTTTTTTGTTAGTGTGCAAATTTTCTCTTTAAGAAAGCCAAAGGGAGAAAGTCTCACACAGTCCCTGGTGCATCACACCAAGAACCAGCCTGACTGCAGTGACACCCTGCTGGATGGGGGGAGTGGGAGGGGGACTCACATCACCTGCAGTGTCCTGGGCCAGCACCAGACTCCTGGCCAGCACTGTCTGAAGAGCATCCTCAGCACAAGGGATGCCTTGGGTTCCCCAAACCACCCACCACAGCCCCTCTGCTTCAGCATGAGCAGGGAGGCCACCAACCACAGGTGCTGAGAACTCCCCATGGCAATCAAACCTATCAGGTGCCCATGCACAGCACTGCAGCAAAACCCACATCCTGAGCTCTCAGCCTTCCAACAGCTCAGGGGATTTATCCAAAACATTACAGTTGCTGCAAGGAAACGTTCCTTTCAGCGGGACTCCCACGCTGTGCAACCTCACCTGCCTAGTTCTGCCTCAGACCCTGCCTGGTCCTGCCTCAAAATGCCAGCTGGGACTGCTAATGGCATAAATCCATCGCCATCTAGTTGCTGAGAAGGAAACTAGAAGGTGGAACCCCAACTGCCAGCCATCTCCTCCAGGGCATCTCCAGGCTCCTCTGGAGGTCCCTGAGGTGCCATGGCCGTGCTGGTGCCTGCTTTTGACCTGTCCTGCATGCAAATGAAAGGTTTTGGTGATCAGGGCACCAGCTGCTTGCTCCCTATCCAAATATTTAGTGGGGAGGAACCATTGAACAAACACTCCATCCTTAAAAATACCTCATTTTGCATACTATGGTAAATCAATTTGCTTTGTGTTTGTCAGGAATAGCAGTGGGGTGAGGAATCTAAATCTAAAATTAACCTCATAAAGCTTACAAACATCAGTGCCTGACTAAGTCTGGAGTGGACAGGCATCTTTGGTTGTAATTATGCAGGCAATCACCTTAAAATATATCACACAGAGTATAAATTATTGCCCAGTAGCAATAAGCTCATAAAAACCCCTAGAAGACAATTTCTCTTATCCTGACTCTTGGTAGTGTAAAGACCCCTTGCAAGAAAAACCTGCTACATTACATGGTAAAAATGAACATATCACAGCAGAAAATTTAAAAATTTAACTGAAACAGAACAGAGCCTTGAACTTCTTAAAACTGAGAAAACAAGCCATAGATACTGAGATGAGAAGTCAGGCATTGGATGAAACAGTGACAAAGGCAGATAACTAGCTGCACATTTGTAATCTGAATTTATTGCCTTGATATCTTCCTGTTGTGATGACTCTTGGGCCAAGCTCTTCCCTGAGGATGGCTCTGAAAAACACCAGGTTCTCAAACTGGTAATATCCCATTCAGTCTTTCGTATTACTTCTAAATAAACAGCTTTTTTTCATACTGCACATAATACACATAATTACACAGCCTTAAATAAACCTACTTGTTAAAATTATTACATTAATAATTCTGTGTATCATCTAATAATGTACTAATACGTAACTAATGTTATTTATATGTGTGTATATATGTATACATACATATATATTTGAAATTAATAGGTAGAATAGAAGAGAAGAGAGTCCATGGTGAACTTTCTCAAGTCCAAGTATGTGTGAACACCTTCCCAATGGCTTCTCAATGCACCAGGTGCCCCAATACTGGCTGGTGACATTTTTATGCTCGTGATAGGATCTTGTCCACTTCCACTGGGGGCAGTGACATCTGCTACGTTCCTGCTCACACGAGTAAGGATTGGCAGGGTTGGGCTTGGGAACCGCTAACGCTGTTTCAGATCACGTAACGGAACAAAACAGCAACAACAAACTAATAAGGAAACAATCTGGAAAGCATGTAGTGCTTTCATCCTCTGATTCTCTCCTGCATAATTCTGACAGTAATGTATTTCCTTACGTAGGTACCTTCAGCGCTGTTTCCACACAGATGGAAATGGCTGGGAATGGTAAGGAATGGGACATCTCCCTGCCTGTTCACCACGCACGGTTTTTATGCAATGTGACGTGCAGCGCAGGATATTCCTGCTCCTTTCTGCCCTGCCAGCTCCGGTCCCACAGCCCCCCTGGTGATGTACTCACTCGGTGACTCAAGGGGTGGCACTCCTCTCCCAAATTCCCCATCGGCGTGCACATCCGCAGGCTGCGGATCCACAGGCTGACCGCGCAGCACATCCCGCTGCCACACTGCTGGTCTCGGTCGCAGGCCTGGAGTTCAATACAGCATTAGGCAAATTAAATTAATAATAAATATATTCCAGAAATTGGACAGATCAGGTGCTCAGGAGCTGCCTCTGACACCCCACAAGTTACCGCGGCTCATTAAGGCTGAATAATAAGATCTAAGGCTGATTTACAATACTTGTACCTCCTACAGATCTGAATGTACAGGCTCCTGGAGTTGAGCCCAGGTTGTTTAAAGCCAGGACCACACATGGAGCTGCTCAGGGCCAAATCCAGGACTGCCAGTGATTTGTAGTCCCAAATTCTGAGCACTGATGGACCATGGCACATGCTGCTCCCTTTTCCAGATCGGCACCCAAGTGAGCTCAGGAAGGAGCAAGGACCAACCACACTAAATGGTCACCAAAACAGTCACCAAAACAGTCTATGGAGAAGCTAAGACAGGAAATCAACCATTAGTTTAATGACTTTTAAGTAACTACTCCTTCTAGTTTCTTATAATATCATAGGATTGAGAGCCCTTGCAAGGCTGCATGATAGTTTGTAAGAGAAGTCCAAGTGGAAGTAGCTAAAATAGAAGTTTAAATATGGATTCTGTGGTTGTTGTCTAGAATTACATGTAACTAAAAAAGGCCTTAAGAAAAAGTTTGCCTAAGTGTCCACATCCAAAAAATGCTGCTGTGGTTGCATTCTCCTCCAGGGGAGGGAAAAAATATTTTAGCCACTTACCCAATACAGCTTAGATAAGCACAAACCAAAATTCAAACTAGTGGGTATGTTTCAAAAACCACAAACCATGAAGAGCAATTGACACGTTAGGGTTTGAAAACAAGTTACTGCACATCTTTCAGCTACTTTTCAATCAAAAGCTTATCAGGCTTTTTATTATATGAATTTAATGCAAAAACCAGTCTCCTTTCTCTGATGGGAAATGCCCTTATTTAAAGGTTCTGATTACACCCCAAACATAAGCTTAATTAACTCACTGCTCTTGCTGTCTGACACCAGCAGTGATTGAGCAAAGGCACTGGTCAGCACTACGTAAACAGGCAGCTCATAAAAATGTACGTAAAAGATGATAACGGCTCTGGGGAAGACGCATATCAGAATAAACATTCTCTGGAGGGACAAGCTTACAGATCTGACCTTGGGATTTACATGATAAATGCCTTTAGACTGTACTCTACTGGGTAAATATTGCACTGGTTTCACCAGCAGAAGCCAGATCAAAATATATATTTAGAGATCAGCCAGAAGCTTAGGAAGAAGCTGTTGCCTGAGGATAAAGTTATTAAATAGTGTGTGTAACCCAAACAGCTCCTAAACACACAGCTCTGTGCTGCAGGTGAGCCCAAACACCAGAGTATTTACTTGCAAGACTAATATGGCCATACAATTACCACTAGAGCCTGCCAAATAGATAATGTTCATTTTCTGACCTCTCTCTTACAAAATAAATAAATAAAAAAACACTCTAATGATCTAATTTCGCCCTAGTGAAAAAAGAAGAAAACACAGGTCCAGTGATTTTGGCTGCCCCCGGCACACTGGTGTCCACTGCTCAGCTGGAGTCACAGGCTTTGCTATTTCTCACCAATCAGTTCCTGGCTTCCTCTTTTTCTCAGTTGTGTAGCTCAAACCCCATCCATCTCCATGGGACCAGTCCTGGAGTGAAGCACCACTCAGTTGAAAACCACACCTGCATATGTCCTAGCAAGCAAGGGTCTCAATGTCCATGCTGAACAATTTCCTTCTAAAACTCACACCCATATATATTTACATCTGGCAGAGCTTTTCAGGCTCCCTTTCCAAAAATGTATGACAAGTTTTGAAAATATTCAACCCAAACACTCCTGCCCACACCTTATCTGCAATGTGTAATTCATACTGCTTACTCCTAATCTTCCCGGGACAACACACGAACACCCCATTTAAACAGAGTTTTGTGGAAAATCAGCTCAGGAATATTTCCCAGGTGAAATGCCAGATGCAAAGGCAACTGGAGTCAGCACATGAACCACCACTGAAGTGAGGAAAGTTTGAATCAAGTCCTTAAATTACAAAGGAAAAGCACCTTGCAAGCTCAGAGGATGGGGACGCAAACACCTACGTCAGTTCTCGTCTGAGATTTGTCCATTCATCAGAAGCCAAAAATGCATCAAAGTGATTTAAGAGGAAATGTTCTGCAATAGTTAATAAAGTAACATTTTTCTAGTTCTACTCTATTTTTGCTTTTTGAATATGCTTTGTCCTTGATCTATTATTCAGTGCCTCACAGTTACTTTATTTGATGGATCAATTATCTTTAAAGGTGTAGCCACAACTCTAATAAAAGATAAACTGCTCCTCCACTGCTGGGTATATTTCTATTTAAAAGGAACTTGAAATTATCAAATATTAAAAAATTCCTTCACATTGTCTGCTCTAAAAGATAATCAGTCCTGGTAACTGATCTGACTTCCAGAGAAATACCCATGAGCTGTTTCAGGGACTTCAGTGGTCTGGACAGGGAGTCTGGACAGCCACGGAGAAATCAGCCACTGCGAGTACAACTTCTGATGGTTACAAAAGATATGCAAACTCTCGAAGGAGTTCAAGTACTGGGTTATTAATCCAAAGCAAACACTTACAAAGAAAAAAAATCATTTTACTTAAGAGTGATGCAATGCTTTGGGTTAAATAACCTCTTTGGGAAAAAAATATTTTCACAACCAAAGTAAATCTCGAGCCTAAAAACAACAACAACAACAGAGATTCATTTGCAAGGGGTGGCTATCGAGGGGAAAAAGCAGCATAGTCATACTCAAAGAAACGAAAGGAAAAAAGCAGCATTTTGCCGAGATTGCAATCCTGCCCTGTATGTGGAGGGACTGGAGGAGCTGCAGGAACTCGAATTGCATGCACAGTGAGCAGTGCAGTGCCCCCATCCAGACGCTCCCTGGACAAGTTTGGGGGTAGCTGGGGCTGGATGGAGGGTGACAAGAGACAGCTCCAGCTCTGGAAAAGCAGCTGGAATCTCTGCACGCTCCCAGACCAGCCTGGAGACAACCTCTCACTGAGTCCAGACATCCCTCACTCCAAAGTGACAGACCTCACACTGTGTCATCCCTCATCCCAGAGACCCACAAGTCCTGATATCACCCGCCCCAGAGAGACTGGTGTATCCTGGAATTCCTCACTCCAGAGAGACCCCCACGCTCTGATAACACTTAGTCCAGAGAGCTCCGCAGCTCCCGGCATCCCTCATCCCAGAGGGACACCATGTCCCGATATCACTTATCCCAGACGGCCCCCCAAGCCCTGGCATCTCTCATTGCCTGGCACATCTCTTCCTCCCACGTCCTGGCTATCACTTATCCCAGAGAGACCCGCAGCTACTGGCATCCCTCACCCTTCGCGAGACCCCTCCGCCCTGACATCCCTGATGCCGGACAGACCCCCGAGTCCCGGCAGTGCTCACCCAGAAAGACCATCTCCGGGCATCCTCCTGGCAGAGCTTCCCCCTCTCTCCTGGCATCCCTCAGCCCGGGAAATCCCCTGCAGTCCCGCTATCACTCACCGCGCACAGACCCCGAGTCCCGTCCCC